GAATCGTTGTCAGATGGTGTGATCTCGAATATATTAGCATTTCAAGCATCTAGAAGTGTTTCAACAAACAGCACTTGGGGTTTATTTACACGGGACTAATGCTCACTTAGAAGATACCGGGCTTGGCAAAGAATACAAACTGTCACCTTCTTAAAGTGGATTAGGAAAATTTTAAATAGGTTTTAACTGTGAAAATGCGGAATGTGTAAGCAATAGTACGTATCCGAGCTTCTTGATACAAAACATTGTTTGCTGAGAATTTTGGCACACCTGAACAATTTCAAAGAGTTTCTCGTTCTAAGAGAATCAAGGGGTTTATTTTGCATGCTGTTCCACCAGAGAATAGTACACATCTGAATTTAAGAATCAGACAAACATAGATGCAGTAAATAATGATCAGCGTATTTCTGCGAAGACCGGAACGGAGGTGGCCAAGCCTACCTATCATCCCCACAGCGCGTGTAGCCTTAGTTTTAATATGTTCAATGTGATCACGCCAGCTCAGTTTTTGATCGTACAATACACCCAGATATTTATTACAGTAAACTTGGGATGTTATTTATTGATGGTAATGAAGGAGAATATTAACTGGTAAGTCCAATGAAAAATTAACTATAGCACTTTTTAGTTACGTTCAGTTTCATATGAATATACTGAAACCAGGTTTCCGATGTTGCCAAATAAAACCGTAAATTTGAATATAGTAAATGAATAACACAGTCATATGCAAAAAACGCAATGTCATCTGCATATGCCTATACTTGTACCTTGCCACTCAGTAGTATTGAGCTTAACACAATGTTAAATAAAACTGGCGACAGAGCAGAGCCTTGAGAAACACCTCTCTTTTGGCTATACTTAGACGTATAAACACCTCTTTGGGGGCAATGAACTGTTCTATCTTTTAAAAATTCGTGCAATCAATTTGTTATATAATGCGGGAAGTTAAAGCCTTTTAGGGCATTGATAATAATATTAGGTTCAACACTATCATATGGCTTGGCTAAATTAAGGGTTACTAGGGCCGCACATTGTCTTCTGTGGCGAGCAAGCTGTATCCGAGCCTCTAAATTGATGTGCGCCCACCATATTGAGTAACCTGGTCTAAATCCTATCGGGCACGTACTTAGTATTGCATTGTCTGTTCTAAAATACACAATTCTAATGTAAATTATTCTTTATAGTAACTTGACTACATGTGCTGTTAAAGTGATTGGCCTAATGTTATCTATATGCATTCCTAGCCCCTGTTTTTAAGAAGCGGTATTATTTTTGCAAGTCTCTAGTCAGGAGGTATCCAACTATTTCTAAGTCAGTGGTTAACATCGTTAAGAAAATATTCAGGAGAGATGTCGAATAATATTTTAACATTCCTGAAGTGGCACCATCTGGTCCAGGACCTGTTTTTAGCAGAAGACGAACGACGTGCGCAAGCTCATGCCTACTTACTTCAACAAAATAATTTTCGTATGAAGGTTTTACAAACTTTATTTGTATTTGTGATGTAAATCTCTTCTCTAATGCTAATGCAGTTTCAGCTTATATATCTTCCAACTCCTTTGGGGAAAGAATAACTGAGTAAATATTTACGGGTTCTGCAATATCTTACGATAACGCAGAAACCTGAATACAGCTCTCTCGTTGCCACTTTTAGATAGGTAGCTATAACGTTTTTTTTTTTCTTAATCGTCTTTCGCTAATGAAACTGTTCTCTTAAGCGTAGCTTTAGCATACAAAGAATTTCTCCAATTAGTAGGACATTGGTTGATACGGGTTTTTTTTTTTTTCATGCAGCTTTCCAGCATCTATAATCTCTAGCCTAGTTCAAATTCCACGAGGCAGATATGAATTTTTCTTTTGTTGAAGATATAGTAAACTGTGATTTTTTAATTGCACAATTTAAAATGGAGCAAACGCTCATAGCTTCAGCATTTTTTTCCATACTGGGCAAGGCGGACAAAGTTGACTGTAAATTCTTTTTAAATTTAATGTAGTCTGTACCTGGTGGTCTACCGTCACTAAAAGAATGCCGACTTCAAATACCAGGGGGCTGTGATCACTTCTTGTAGCGGTATCAAGCACAGTCCAAGACGATATAGTCACATTTGAGCTGGCAAATTCCAAATCTAAGATGGACCTCGAATTACATCGAACGAATGTGGGAACTCTGGAATTTTAACAAATAAGATTATTCCAATCAGTCCAGACCCACAATCGTTTTCTCGATGAATCAGTGCGGCAACACCACAACACGTGATGGGAATTGAAGTCTGCCGCAAATAGTATACTGTTTCTGCAAAAAACTCACAGTCATATCAAGGGCTCTTTCATCTTGTATCCCAGCTGGAAAGTAGTTATTGACTATAGATAGTGGCGAACAACCGGGAAATTGAAGTATCAGAACCAATACAGCAACCATTCCTTTCATTTCATTCTGTTTTATACTAGCCATGTAGAGTCCGGGGGGGGCAAATATGTGGTGAGCAGGTCATCGGATGCGCGCTGCGTATGCAGAAACATTAATTTTCTTTGAACTTCCACGTTGATGACGCCGCTTTCTTATGGTTGCAGTGGCCTCGCGATGTAAGATCTCTTGCCATTTGTCTCAATACGGCTATATATTTTTCTTTATTTTGAGCAACCTTATGAGGAAACTTCGCCGGGTTCATTACAATTTCAACACTTGAGAACACTGCCTTGCAACTGTCCGCGAAATGGGCTTCAGGGCAGCGAAAGCATACGCGCTTGTCTTCACATACGCTTCTCACATTACTGAGCTTCATTCAGTTGGGACATTGCAGTGTATTCGGCACAAAAGGTCTGTCAGGGTGGTGGAAGTGTCTCACCTTTACGTTCGAAGTCGCAGAAGGCAGAATTCCATTTCAAATATATTTGCAAGTAGTGTGAGGTTCTCAAATGGGAAATCGTGGCTTCAATAGCTGGCTTGATCAGTGCACACAAGTCGGAGCTGGAAATGGCAGCGTCAACATCATGAACGACGCCGGTGACGACGTTGGAGCCCACCGAGATGTAAGAACGCACGTTCATTCCAGCCAGCTCTTTAATGTTGCGTAGTATGTTCAGCGCGGGCGCATGCTTCAATGACCGAGAAATTTGCTTCATAAAAATAACGACATGAGCATGGGCACGTGGTAGGGAAAATTTTTTTAAGATAATTTTTCCACTACGACTCAACCAATGCATGCAATGCGCCCCGTGGTGGTGTGGTCTAGTGGCTAAGGTGCTCGGCTGCTCACCCGCAGGTTGCGGGATCGAATCCCGCATGTGGTGGCTGCATTTCTGATGGAGGTGAAAATGCTGTAGGCCCGTGTGCTCAGATTTGGGTGCACATTAAAGAACTCAAGGTGATCAAAGTTTCCGGAGCCCTCCACTACAGCGTCTCTCAGAATCACGTGGCGGTTTTGGGACGTTAAACCCACATATCAATCAATCAATGCATGGAATGCAGTTTGCAGCAGAGGTGCGAAAACATTTATTGTTAATGGAGCATCTCACGTTTGTTTAACACATAGGCTACATCGGTCACTATTACACGTTATTGTTCTATACTGTTATTGCACATGCCAGAACAATTGTCTGTATCATAGGTCTTGCTAGCAATTAAGACCATATGTGGTGCCAGCTTCAACCCTTATAAAAATGTCTGCGTATAAGAAACTCTGAATACTTAATGTAAACTATTTTTTGTAAATGCACAATGTGTCAGGGTAATAATGAAAAACAATAGCCCGATCAATTTTTCGAATTAGCGTGAAGTCACCCTATCTACAGTTACTAATATAGCTGCTGTAAAGTAAAACCGTTAATAAAAATAAATCGTGCAGAATTAAATCAAACCACAATATTTATGCACATTTAACCTTCGGGACATAATCTGGGTAATCGTAGCTTCGTTAACGGGTTCTACTCATGCAATGAAGCTCATTGCGCAATTGACCTTCCTGTCATTTGTGGAACGTATTTTATATCATGCAATGTTTATTGTTATGACCACTTTATGGGATGTCACGTTGATGTGATACGTATGCACCATCGGCAGTGAATGCATAAAAGCAAAGAGCACGTTTATACCAAAACATAGCGTGGACATCAACACTGTGATTTCATAGGACGAAAGTAATCTTTCCTCAAGCAAGAATGGGGAAGTCCGTATGTGCTGTGAAAACCACGACGCGAGCAATAACCTTAATATTTACCAATATAATTGCTCACTTTCATTTTTTTTTATCCGAGGTGTTATCGAAGCTGACGTGGTTGCTCACGTTACAAGATACCACGCGTGCTACTAATAATCTAAACAGCTGCAGCCATGGTCATAAAAGCGCAAGAAGGCTCGCCAAAAAAGCCTCTCTTTAAGAGAAACATTATATTGAACAAGGCTTCTACATGGCACTTCTGCAACTATATAACGGCCCCTCTTAATGTGTGAGGACCACAGCTTCGCAAGTCACAAAAATCAAGAAGGAAAGACAAAACCAGGTGCCCCTTTTAGTAGATTTTTGCAACTGCTTCACTGCTAAAAATTGCGCTTATTTGTGGACAGGAAAGCGGACATAGTGTCCAGGAAATAAACACACTCCACCCCTTCGCCGACATCAAAGACACAGCACACGTATAAGAATCACAGAGTTCATCACTTCGCAAAAATTATGGATACAGCACACGTTTACCAATGATGTTTCACTGAGTAGTGCAAAAAACAAGTGTCTCCGCCGTCAACAAAAAAAAAAATAGACGAAAGTAATTATTTACAATACAGATCACCTCGAGAAATTTATACTAATATGGCTGTCGCATACCATCGTTGCATCCATCGCTGCGACATGTTCTGCACCACTTTTATTCTACGAAACTGTATTTGTTCCCAAACGGTGGCTTAGGCGGGCATCGAGAAAAGAGGAACCATCCGACCGCGGCAGGCGCACCGCCATCGCCACTCATCCGTCGGCTGTCACTACTCTAGTCACAAGCCCGACTACCCTCCTCAAAGGCCAGGACGCACACACGGAACGGGATCCGGCTGGCGTTGCTTTTATATCTGGTCTGCATCTAGGAGGTGAGTGCCTAACTTCTCATATACTCGCCGTTTGGGTTACAGCTCGTGCCACTAATGATCTGTGTCGTACTACACGACACAGATGATTAGATTAGGCCGCTTCGAGTAAAGTCGAGGCTATAAACGCAGTGCTCCTTTGTCGATGTCGGTCTCGCACGCCTTGTATCATGCATGCTTTTTCTGAGACGGAGTACGTACTGAGAGCAGAAAATGCAGCATTTACGGAAATCGCCGGTTGACTGTGTTGGTCGTTTTACATTTTGAGTGTGACATTTTCTTTACGCTCATTACTTGTCCACAGCACTTTCATTATGGCAACAGTGTTCAGGCTTGTCAACGCCATAGTGGAGCCGTTTAATGTGTGCGCCTCCCTTTATGCTGGCGGCGTTTTGTTTACGCTGCTGGTACGCCGCGGCACCGAAAGACGACGCGATATCCATCGTGAAATCTTGGCGCGCTGCAGTCTACACGCGTGTTCTCCCCGTCCGGCCGAAGTTCATTTCCTCTGCGTTGTCTAAGAAAAGGTCGCTGAAGGCAGGTAGCACCGAGGTGCGAACAATCAGAGAGAACTTTGACTCAAGAAATGTAAAGCGGCATGTGAATTTTTCCAGAAAGCTAGAAACCACTATTTGTAAAACGCGTTCTAAAAATAATAAAAAGTGTTTGCTTCGTCTGCCGCGGTGGTATTGTGGTTACGGTGGTCGGCTGCTCACCGCGCGTTTGATGCTGGCCGTGGTATATAGTCGCGTTTTGATTTAAAGAAAATGGTTAAGGCCCGTGTATTGTGCAATGTCAGTGCACGATAAGGATGACCTAACGGTGAAAATCTCCGGATGCCTCCACCACAGAGTTCATAATGATATCATGGTTTCGGGACGTCAAACCCCAGGAATTTTATTTAAATATCTGTTAATCCCCAATGCGGTTAGAAACAAATTTTCTGTGTAGAACTATGGTAGTATTTTCAGTATATCAAGAATGTAGTCCATATTCGGGATTTTTTTTCATAGAGATAACATTTAGTGAAATATGATAGTTCATATTAGCTGATTATCACAGTTTTCTTTCTGTGGACAAAAATAACTTGATACATGTACAGTGCCAAATAATTTTTATAGCTGGTGAATAAGTTGCAAGATATTGGTTTTTGTAAATGTTTGGTTGTAAGTTTACTATCGAGGTGGTCCTCGTAAAAAATATGGTGAATAGCACATTTAGTTGTAACCTCCATCGGTTATTGTCAGAGAAAGTCATCAAATTGTTTTTAATTTTAAGAGACGAAAACTTTTTTGATGTTGTTGCTGGTCTCTGTTCTTGCCGGTGTTATACCTTGAAGCAATGCGTCCTTGTGGTAAGTACTAGCTGCACAGGCATGAGAAACATTTCGACAACATATGAATTTCGTCCGTACTTACTTGAATAGTTTGCTATCTAATACTATGCATGAGTAAACGCTAGATCCAAACCATACTAGGGTGCATTTAATCACATGCATCTATCTTATGACAGTACGAATAGTGTGCTTATGCAACACTGGTAAGTGACACCAATACATGCAAGAACTTTTTACCTGTCCGATAAGATTTGGAAGTGGCAAGAACACCACAATTTAAAAAAACAATCTATCGAAATCAGAAGAAAAGGATATGTTTTTGTCATGAACCAATACAGCTGTATTAAAGTGATAATGCCTGCTATTAAAGTGGCAATGCGGTGCTACCTGCCATTGAGTATTTGAAGCAAAGTTTAGACGCACGGATGAAAAAAAGGAATACGAAGGCACTGCTAACTACTGGCCTTTATTAAAGCCTCTGCAGAATATATGGCTGGTGTTATCTGCAGTTTAAGACTGCTAGTCAAAGATTGGAAAAGTGAAAAAACATTTAAACCATAGTGGGGCACTTGTCATGAAGGTAGTTGATTCTTCTAAGGTTAAGCTTCATTAAAAAGATGTGTTCTTTCTCTTCAATTCTGTTTGAAGTTTGCAAGGTGGGAGCTACCTAATATCTTTGATGCCACTTCCACCTTAAAAGGAACAGAGTTGATACCCTAATGTTGTTAATGAAATAGAATCAGTCAAGAACTTTAATATATGGTCCTGAGGAGTTTAAGCCACCAGGGTGCCCACGTGGGACATCCTAGCAGCCGCTACCGTAGGCGACGCCCGAGTCGGGGCTGGAACGTGGTGGCGTTCCGCCAGTTCTTGGGCCCTCTGGACTGCCTTAAGTTGGTTTCGGAGATTGGGGCTCCTGAGTGCCTCCTCCCAGTCGGACTCACTGGTGAGAGGTCCCTGAGGTAACGCGGGACATTGCCAGAGCATGTGCGCGAGTGAACAGTACACTTCTGTGCAATCTGGGCACTGTGAATTTATGTCTGAGTTATAATGGCTGAGTCGGCCCCGTGATGGGTACGATCTCGTTTGTAACATTCTAAAGGCTACTTCTTGCGCGCGTTCGAGTTTTGAATGGGGTAAAGGGTATCGGCTTCTGTTGTGTCGGTAGTGGGAGGTAATTTCATGGAAGGTGAGTAGTGGGTCATTAAACTGCACGTCTGGGCCCAGCTCTTCGGTGGCTGATTGATCGTCACGGCGGGTCAGTTCTCGTGCTCGATCATGAGCCATTTCGTTGAGGTTGGGTTGTTGTGGGTGAACGTCTTTGCCCATGTGGGCAGGGAACCAAGAGAGGTAGTGCGAGCCCGTATATTTCCGTGTTTGTAAAATGCGGGCTGCTTCTGGAGCGATGTTGCCGGTTTCGTAAGCCCGAATGGCGGCGCGAGAGTCTGTGAAGACATTAGTGAGTGAGGGGTCGGTCATCGCTAAAGCTATAGCAACTTGTTCGGCTATGGCGCTTGTTGATAGCCTAACCGAGGCGGCTGAGCGTAGGGCTCCGTCGCCATCTACTACCGCGAGTGCGAAAGAGGAGGAGTTACCGTATTGCGCTGCGTCGACGAATGCGGTAGAGTTGCGATTCGCGGCGGTACGGTTTAGGATCGCGCGAGCGCGGGCCAGCCGTCTGCCTTTGTTGTGTTGTGGGTGGACATTTCGCGGAAATGGGGTTACCATGTAAGTAGCTCGGACAACTCTGGGGAGGGTTACTGCGCGTTCAAGGCAGGGGTGTGGGGACATGCCGGCCTCGCTTAGAAGTCGGCGGCCTGCCTTGGAGGAGGAGAGGCGGATCACTTGGGCCGTGGTCTGGGCCTCGATCACTTCATCGATGCCGTTGTGCATGCCTAGTTGGTCGAGACGGGAAGTGCTCGTGTTTTGAGGCAAACCAAGGACTTGTTTAATGCTTTTGCGCATGAGTGTGTTTAGTTTCGTCTTTTCTACCTTCGTCCAGTTGTGGGCAGAGGCGACGTAATTGATGTGACTCATTAGGAACGCGTGGTATATGCGCAGAAGGTTGGCCTCTCCAAGGCCTCGTCTACGACCCGAGACTCGCTGAATGAGTCGGAGCATGTTCTCGGTTTTAGCTGTGATATGTTTAATTGTTCTTGCATGACAGCCAGTGGCCTCGACGAGGAGGCCGAGAATGCGTATGGAGTCCACGCGGGGTATTCGCTGCCCATCTTTGGCGTGTAGCGCTATGGGTAGATCACCTAAGGGTGTTAAGTTACGAACGCCTTGGCGAGATTGCCGGTACAGTAGCAACTCTGATTTTGTGGGCGACAAACGAAGTCCAGTGTTTTTTAAGTAGGCTTCTGTGGTATTGAGAGCAGTTTGAAGGGCTTGCTCCAACTCCGCCAATGAGCCTCCCGGGCACCAGATGGTGATGTCATCTGCGTATATAGCATGGTTTATGTTTGGGATCTCGCGGAGTTTGTCAGATAGTCCCTTCATTACTATGTTAAAAAGGAGTGGAGAAATGACTGCCCCTTGTGGTGTCCCGTTGGAACCTAATGTGTAAGTGTCGGATGTAAGTTGCGATAAATGCAGCTGAGCTTTTCGATTTTGCAGAAAAGAACGAATGTACGCCTGGAATCTTTTACCGAGACCAAGGCTGGCAATGGATTCCAGTATAAAGCGGTGTGAGACGCTGTCGAATGCTTTAGTGAGGTCTAGGGCGAGAATGCCACGAACATCTCTCGTTTTTGAGTCGAAGATCTGTTTCTTTAGTAATAGCATGACGTCTTGTGTTGAAAGGTGCGGACGGAACCCGACCATGTTGAACGGAAAGAGTTCGTGATCCTCTATGTAGCGCGATACACGATTTAGGATGACATGTTCAGCTGCTTTTCCTATGCATGAGGTTAGGGAAATCGGGCGTAGATTGTCGAAGTTGAGTGGTTTACCTGGCTTTGAGAGAAGGATTACCGTGGCCGTGCGCCATTGTTCAGGTACCTGGCCAGTTTCCCACATGTAATTAATGTCTTTTGTGAGTAGTGTGATGGCTTGGTCGTCTAAATTTCGCAACAGGCGGTTGGTTACCTTGTCAGGACCGGGGGCTGATCTGCTGTTGAGGTTGTGTAATGCCTCCCGAATTTCTGACTCCGTGAAGGGTTCGTCGAGTTCGGGTATCGTTTCGCATTCTATTTCTGGGTAGTCGGTGGGTTGTGCTGTGTTTAAGGGGAGGTGACGTTTGGAGATTTCTTCAAGAAAGGATGAGTTTGTTCCTCCCATCTTTTTGTGCGAGTGTAGGAGCCGGTCTATGGCATGACTCTGGTTGTTTTTTGTTTCGCAGTCGTCCAGCATGAAATAGAATCAATTCATTTTTTCACTTGGAAACAGAGTTGATACCTTAATATAGTGACTGAAATAGAATCAATTTTTTTTCAATTGGAAACAAACCATACAATTTATTTCAGCAGAAGCTTTTACATTCACAAAAGGTATGCCTTTTTTGCACACTCTCAAATCTATGTGCTTTGGTCATTACTAGCTTGTAAATATTAAATTGGTTTACATGATGGGTTGTAATAGTACCAACATTTGTCTACTAAATTGGAAAGCTGTTCCTCTTTTCGGAGAGAACTGAAATATTACAGGGCAAGTAATTGGCTGAGCT